TGATGTTAAACATTATCTGGTAAGAAGCTTGTTTCTGCTGGAGGAGAGGTTTCCTCTGTGCGCAGATTTGTCCAGATGTAAAATCCAACATTCTGCTATTTTTATTTATTTATTTTATATTTGTCTAATACCGTCATTTGACAATCGTTGGTGGTTTTAGCATACCTGCCTTATTTTTACTGGCTCTTGCTGAGAAAATGTGTTGTGATCTGTTTTGTGTTTATTAGCCTGAGTCTCTGTCTTCCCTGTTGATTGTTCCCAGCTGTGTCTCGTTTCTTTGATTACCCTTCCAGTGTATTTAGTCTCACCTGTTGTCTTTGTCTCTTGTCGGATCCTGTACATCTCTGCCTTCCCCGTTGCTCCCTGTGCAACTTGTTTGTATTCTGTTCTTTTGGATTATTTCATCATTAAAACAATCTTCATCACCTTCGTCCTGGGTCTGGCTGCGTCTTCCCTCACCTCACCAACCCACAAATCATGACAAAATGCATTTGGTGAATGATTAAAAACCTTGAATGTTTTGACAAATTTATTCATCTATGGGTTTTTTTTTTCAAGCAATTCTGTTAATGCTGTATTGCTACTGTGGTAATTATTAAAACATATTTTTTCTTTTTTAAGCTGATAGAAAACAGAAATTGTGCCTCTGAGCAGGTCAGAGTTCATTTTCACAGACTCCACCTGAGCTTGAACTCTTTTGTAAAGAAAAGGATGAGATTTTAGCTTTTTGTTCATAAAAAATGTTGAAAACTATGTTTCTTTTTTCTTCCACTTCATAACTGCAGGTTACTTTGTGACAGTCAGTCATATACGATCCTGATAAAATACAGTAAAGTTTGTGATGGGGACAGTTTGAGGTGTAGAAATACTTGAGCTGTAATTTAGCCTAATTCATCTTCAAAACTCAAGGTGCTTCAGGGTCCAGTCAGACGTCAGCACTGAGTCGGGGCCGCCTGAGCTTTGACCAGTCTGGTGTAATACAAAGTGTGGGGCATAAGTCCCTTTTCAGAACGACCACAAAACAGAGGTACAAAGCCGACAGGAACAGATTCATGTGGTTTAGTTGGAGGTCAGGCTGATCGACGGGGCGTAAACAGGCAAACATGGGTTGGAACAACAAGTAAATGTGTGTATGGGAGTCACAGTCTGACAAAACAGCCACTTATTCTGGTGTTTATCAAACAGAAATAGTTTTGGTAATTCTAGACTTCAGAAATCCGCCCCTTTAAGAAATTTGAATTTGAAAATGTCTGTTCAGTGATCGTCTCTGTGTAATTGGATTTCACACAGAAGTAACTTTAATTAAAGCTCCGCGGAGCCTCAAGCGGCCCTCGCAGCCAAGCGCCGCTCAGGCCTAGCCACCGCGGATGTTCCAGCCACCGCCTCCCCACAGCACTGCCTCCCCCCGCCACCGCCTCCCCTCAGCACCACCTCCACCCATCAACCGCCTCCCCCAGCCACCGCCTCACTCTCACGGAGCTGCTGAACCCACCCTTGAGATAGTCACTCTGTCATGTTCGACATTACTCCCAGAAAATGCACAAAAATCTGGTGCAGATCGGCTGATATCACAAGGAGACACAGCTGTTTGATTAACCTAAGGAGCGCAGGAAAGTCAAGTAGTAATATAATGCTCTTGGGCTCTTTAGAGCTTCACCAGAGATGATCACATGAAGTCTAGTGCAAATCGGATGAAGCATGTTTGATTTAGAGATGATTGTAGACATTGTGAACATAGCTACTCGCTATTTAGCCACCCCCACATGGTTCAACCAGCAGCCAACATTCACAGAGGGTTTCA